TTTGTATATAATGAAATTGGAATTTTTCTAACTTCATTATATAGTACGATTCACTATATAATAGGTTCACTATATCCGATCCCTGAAATTTCTTTATGGCATAATGGTCATCTGATTTTATTACAAGCCCCATACTAATATATAAATATAAATTTCGGAAATATGAGTAATACCGGAAATTCTCGGTTGCGTAAATAAACGATTTGGATTGGTCGAAAAAGAGTATTTCCGTTTCAATTATCATTATATAAGTGTGAGTATTTAATATTTAAGGAGGAAATTCTCACAACACAATAATAATAAATGTTCGGTCAGCAAGAAATTAAAAAAAAACCAAATTTTTCAAAAAAAGGCTATTAATTTGATTCAACGATAAAAAATATACAAATACAATACATACACAAACATAAATATTTAGATTTGTTATTATTTATTTATTTATTTATTTAAATTTACAGGTAAAAAGTTTGTGTGAGAAAATATTTTTTAAAGAGGAAAAACAGTGATATTTATATATATATATATAGAAGAGTGTTGTGTTCTCGTAAAAAGGAACTTCTGATTTTTTGTGTTGTGTTGTTACTTTGACTTTTTTTTATTTTTTTTTTTTAATAAAAAAAAACCTTAAAATTAAAGTTTTATCGTCAGGTGAGTTAAACCTTTGTCATTCACACATAAATATAATGATAACATTTGATATTTCAAAACATATAATACGTAACATTTTGTCATTAATCATTATATAATTAAATATATATTGAAATCTGAGAAAAGTTTCTTAACAGAAAGAAAATATTCTTTTTTTCATATTAAATACAGAAATAATATATAATTATTTTAACTGTCAATAGAAGAACTAGTTCAAAGTTATGGAAAGTGGTGGTAATATTAAAACGTTAAGCGATTACGAAAGTCCTAAATCATCTAGAAGATTAGTTCAACAATATAATGACGAAGAAATGAATGATTATGATTATAAACGTTACGATCAAAGATCGGGAGGTGGAGGCGATGATGGATGGGGAACTACAGCATCTTATTCTAAAGATTTAGAATGGGATGATTATGATGAGAGAACAAAAGGTAGTGACAAATCCTATTCCTCTAGAGGGGCTCAAAAATGGGGTTCTTATAATACTAAAGATCGAGCTCCTTCTTATTCAAAAGGTGCTACTGTTGATAGATATGACGATTGCAGAACTTCTTATCCGGGTGATCGTGGTGATAAGTATTATGGAGGCGGCGTTGGTAATACTACGAGCGGAGGAAGTGTCAGTGGCAATGGTGGCAGCAGGTCTTATCGTGATACTAAACAATACTATGAAAGTGATAGTTACGAATGGGATCGTTATAATTACCCCACCGATACTAAAAAAACGAATTATCCGGATAGTCAAGATTGGAATAGAAGTGATTACAAAGGCAATAATAAATCTTACGCAAAAGATCAAGCTTGGCAATCAAAAGTTGATAATAGATTACAATATCCAGAAAGTGATAATGGTAGAAAATATGAATACAGTAGAGGGCAAACTGAAAGATCTTATCCAGCAGAAAATGATTATGAACAATATTATAGTAGTAAATCAAGACACGAGGAACCTTATACAAGAAATGATGATTGGGATAGAAAATCTTCTTCTTATCCAAGAGGTAACAACGACGATCTGAAAAGATCTTCATATGATGATTATAAAAATTCAAATTTTCGTGGTGGTGACGGTGGTGGCGGCGGATTTAATAGTATGGATAACAGAAAAAGACCCAGAACATCATATTCTGATGACTATAATAATAGTGCTAGTACTAACAATAATAATAGGGGAGGAGGATCTAAGTATCCTCCTAACAGGGGTTATAAAGGATCAGAGACCACTATTCCTCCAAAGTTGAATGATTACAAAAGATTAAAATCATATGACGGTAAATCATCTTCTAGATACGACGAAGGATCAAGAGATTATGACAAGCAGGCAGGAAATGAATCACCGACAGAATTTACTGATGTGCCTATGTGGGAAGAAGATAAATATGGAATAAAGAGTCATATCCCTAGTAAAGTTGAAATTGAAAATCCAAATGATCCCTGGGGAATACCTGCATCACCATCAGATCCTAATCATTGGGATAATTTTTGGGATGATTCATGGGGTACAATGCCAAGTGATATGATTAACGCTGAAGAGAATAATTATAATAGAAGATCATCGACAAATAATTCACGACTTATGGATGATATCAGATCGTAATAATAACGATATTAGTAATAATTAACAATGGTAATAATAATAAATATTGGGAAACACAAAATAATATAAATAGATACAAATAGATAGATACAGGGATACAATTTGTGATCATAAGAAAATTTAAAGATATCTTTTATTGATTGGCTTTTATTCAACGCATACATATATATTGTATTTAAGCTCATTCTTTGATAGTTTTTTTAATAAATAAAAATTAAGGTAAGCTCTGGAACTCTCTTCATTTTTATATTTCTTTTTTTTTCTTTTTTATAATTGCTTTATTTTAACTGGGAAAATAAAAAACAAGAACTCCTTTTCTTTTTTATGAGAATTCTTGTTAAAACGACAAATTTCTTCATATTTGAAAAACCATTTTATATTTATATATTTTCTTTTTTATGGATTTATTATTATTATATGTATATTTTTTTCTTCCTTTTTTTTTTTTGGAAAAATAAATGTAAAATTCGCAAAATCAACCATTAATCGAAATTTTCGTAACAAATGAATGTCCAAACCAATTCTACCAAATTCTTTCTTGCTAAATGCAAAATTTTATACGAGTTATCGACCAGACTTTCTTCATTCATTATAAAACTTACAACCGAAAAATTAATAGAGACTGAACATGACTCGGATTTTTCAATTATTATGAAAATTTTATGCCAACGAAGAACCAATCCCAGGAAAAAAGCAATCGAAAAGGAGACATTATGATAATGATAAAAGTAGTGAAGACATAGTATAGATTTGCGTCAGTGTGACTAGGCGATGATTTGGAATCCGAGGTGTTTTCATCCCATGCAATTGCTCTGGTTATATTAATTTTTCCGTGAATAAAACATTACATATCTTTTTTGTTGTTGTTTGATCTTTTTGTCGTTATTTAAAACATAAAAGTGAAACTTTAAAGGAACAAACATAATAATCCTTGAGCAACTTCATTTTTTCCTTCCCGTTTCTTCATTAACACCATTATTATTATTAAAGCGAATATTATCAAACCTAACATAATGAGCTTTACTGGTCAAAATTCTTTTTTTTAAGGAGATCTTTGGGTTTGCGCCTTAGATTGCATTCAGGATATTTCAATTATGGTGCAATTCAAACAGGCTTAAGTATTACCTGAAAACCTCTTGACTGTCTGGCACTATTTAATGATTATAATTGGTATATACTAACTAACTTGTTAGAACATTGATAACTTGGATCAAAAAAATCTCGAGAACTTGTAATTTTAGATTGGACACTGCTCAACCAGTGCTTAGGTACCTGGTTTAATAAGAAACTCTCATGTAAGTTTCTTTGGCTCGTTTGTTTCCTTTCACGGCTTACTCAGGGAGCAAAATGATTGAACACAGGAAGGGTTTTAACAGGCTCTTCAAAAAAGAACCCAGGTACTTCAAGCCCGCTCTGGAATTAAACTTGAATATACGAACCAAAAAATTGTAATGATTTAAATCCAACGTCTAAGGTTAATTGTTCTCATTAAATAAAATGGTTAATGAACATCAAAGTTTAGGCATCGTTTGTTGACTATTGAAAGTAAAAAAAAATTAACGTTAAAGCAATGCATCGAAGTCACTGAAGACACTAATTCAAATTTTCTAAAAGGGCCTTAGATTGTTGTTAGAATATCTTCTTAAAATGAGTGATATACGTAAATATAACAAAGTCGACAAGATAATTTAGCCATTAGCATGTATAACTTCCCCAATTATTTAATCATAAGATTTCCATCTTTATTAAGTAATTGTTCACTTTCATGTTCTTTCTTTTTAGTAAGGTATTTTCTCTTTACCTCAAGCATCTAGGTATCTAGGTAGGCAATGTAATTATATTTTACATAATAATATATAAAACATGATATGGGGTCTGGGACAATAGAAAAAAGATCTGTTTTTTGAAAAATATTTTACTATGTTGTTCTACATGAAGAATTAATGAGATGAAATCAACCCAAGACTGCTTTTTTCCGCAACATGGTCTTTTTTTATTGTCCGCCCCCATATTTCAAATTTTTTATAGATACGCATTGTTAATTAATTAAATTAACACAAAGAAGAAATTTTCTATTTGCTGTGTCACGACCACCTACCAAAAGCAGTAAGGCGAGTGACCTTCGTGCAGGTTTCTCGCCGATTGTCTCCTTTTGCGTTTAGCCGCGCTTGGTTTTGACGCGATTAACGTTTTCACCATATTTGGCGAAAATTGTGTCGTACGGCAAATGTTTCGTTTCTTAATAGATTCAATTGCAAGCGT